GTTGGTTTGGTTTTGGTTTTCTTTTTCTTTTCAATTAAATTTATTTTTCATTTTTAGCGTACACTTGATTGTACTGATTGCATCTTTGCACGCTTAAGGACGCTTGGGGTTTAAGTTTGAGGGTAGTGGGCGCTTTTTGGATTTATTATCGATCATTTCTGGTCTTAGTGGCCTGAATAAAAAGACTCGGGGAAAGTTAATTTAGTTCTCTCAAGTTTCCCTTATCTTTTAACTTTTCACTTTTCACTTTTAGATGTTAGCAGCGGTAAGTCAAAATAATAATAATAATAATAATAATAATAATAATAACTACTCCTAGCAACGGTTGTGCTCTAATTCAAGTTAATCATAAAAATCACTGTAATTCCCAACATGCAGTGATATTTACATTTCAATTACGAATTACCATATATTATTAGATTATGGATTAAAAGAAAGAAGATCCTTCTTCCACCCCGGGGACCCATGTTGAGGAACCAAATCAAATTTCTGAAATGTGTTTAATTGTTGGGTAATTAAGTTTATTGTCAAAGGGCAACAAATGGTAATTTAATAATGTGCTTAATTTTTTGGGTAAGTTTATTGTCAAAGGGCTAGAAATGGTAATTTAATAATCAAAAAATTAAATAAGAAAGAGTTGTTATAATTAGTGGGCACAAATAAATGAGGCCTTTAATTAGTACCGAGTCTATTGAATCCCTTTCTTTGAAGAGAGAGGGGAAAAAAAAAGTTATGAGTGATCATACAGCTATACATCATCATATTTGTAGTAGTGTAGGTTGTCTTCCACATTTGAGATCCAATTTAATCATTTTCCCGTTTCTTTTTTCCCATGAACGAATGAACACTAGAAAGGATAATCACAAAATCCTGTGATGAAAATCAAAAACTGAATTTGGAAACTATTTGCACTGATTTATGGTAGTATCGAGATACACGTGATTTTTGAGTCTTTCTCTATATTATTTTCTATATGTAATTATTTATTTTTTATTTTTCATTTTTTTTAGCTTTGAAGTGAGATATCATCATGACATGTATGGGAAAAAAACTCATAAGGTACCTTCCATAGAAAATCACATAACGGTAAGGAGAGAGCATGATATACATTACAATGCACATTTAAAATTTGATGATTCTTCTTAAACATCAATTTGAACGTAGCGATACATGCTAACCGCACTTTATTGTAGTATAGAGAATGTACCGATTCAACATTGATGGCGAGCGAAACATGCATCATTAATTATGAGATTTCTATAATAATATTATTTAACAACGAATTAATGAGTGAATGTTAATAATGCAGGAGCTACACAGAAATGGAGAGACGGCTAAAGGTGTACGTGTACGAGGAGGGGGAGTCGCCCTTGGTCCATGACGGTCCGTGCAAGAGCATATACTCTATAGAAGGGAGGTTCATCCAAGAGGTTGAAATGATGGAAGGCGGGTTGAGGACCAAATACCCGGGCCACGCGCACCTTTTCTTCCTCCCCTTCAGTGTGGC